AGATACCTGTTACCTCAATCAGTTCAGTAACAGCATGCATGTTGCAATGTTAAGCAGCTGTGCACTAGGTTCCAGGGATTCAGTGATTAAGAAGAAACAATCCTTTGAGCCCAGGAACTCACTCTCTAGAAAACCATGATCTCAGTGACACTTGGGAACTTTGCTCTAGAAGGTTTTTTTGACAGAGTTACTCCAAGTTGGAATGAGCTCATTGGCAGTGGGATTAGGAGCCAGGCCAGACCGAGAAACAAAACTCACTGCCCTCCGTTTGCCTCTGACTCACCCCAGCCCGAGAGGAGAGTAGAACTGCTTCCGAGGCTTTCCGAGGCTGTGAATCCGTACCGGCGCAGATGGCCTCATCTCTCGTCAACTAAGCTACTGGTGGATTGGAACTTCTGACCATGCAATTGGCAGCTGAGCGCATGGAAGAGTAAATTCAGCCTTGGGAGAGTGTGGTCAGGGAATACTTCCTGGAGGAAGTGATGCATGAGTGGAGGCGTAAGGCTTGTCAGTAACCAGCTGAGATAGAGGATTTAGGACAGCTGGTCCTTTTCTGCAAAGTCATGAAGATGTGGAACAACTTAGTGTTGTGGGCAGTCTTAGGCAGGCTACTGCTCTTGACCAGCACACAGCATGAAGTACGTAGGGACTGGAGAAGCAGGTGGGGACCTTGTCAGGGAAGACCTTGGAACCCTTCTGAGGAACTTGGTCTTTACCCTAAGGGGAGCCACTGAAGGATTAGAGGCAGCTCTGCATTTTAGATAGATGAATCATGGACATACTGTGGATGATGGGAAAAGGCCCAGTGAGGGAGGAGGAATACCAGGTGTGAGCTAGCCTAGGCTAAAGGGAATGTGAACATTGGCACTGTTGACATGGAGGAAGGGGACAAGTGTTTGTGGCATACAGTGGCAGGACCTACCACTGCATTTGACACTAAGGAAAGTGGTTGATGACAATAGGGCTCAGTGTTGAATAAGAAGGGAGATTAGGACAGTGACTGTAGGCTCGTTGAAGAAGTTTAGGTTAGGAGAGAATTTGAAACTCAATACGTCCTTGAAATTCACCCGTGGCCTTCCTTGGCAGCTTGCCTTCCTGGTGCCTTTCTCTTCTTTGTCACCTCCTCTTCCACTTACTTAAATGTTGGTGTTGCTTAAGACTCCATCCTTGACCCTTAGGTGTGCTTTCTCTTGGTCTACGTCTTATTTTGTGATGTCTCAAAGCCCCACCCGTATGTACAGGATTCACAGCTCACGACGGTCTGTCTAGCTGCAGCGTGGGTCTCTGCTGATGCAGACTGTTGTTGTGACCCTCTGTCCTACACAATGGAACACTGCCCAGGCCCGTGCCAGCCTCAGAGTTCTTAAGTTTGAGCCCATGGATGCAGTCACTGTGTCTATCCATCTTGTTGAAGGTTTTCCTCTTTTTTTGTTATCCCGCTGCTTTACCAAGCATGATGACCTTTTCCAGGGACTGGTGTTTCCTGCCAATATGTCCAAAGTACATGAGATGAAGACTCACCATCCTTGCCTTTAAGGAGCATTCTGGCTGTACTGCTTCTAAGACACATTTGTTTGTTCTTTAGACAGTATTTTCAATATT